TGTGTGTGTGTGTGTGTGTGTGTGTGTGTGTGTGTGTGTGTGTGTGTGTGTGTGTGTGTGTGTGTGTGTGTGTGTGTGTGTGTGTGTGTGTGTGTGTGTGTGTGTGTGTGTGTGTGTGTGTGTGTGTGTGTGTGTGTGTGTGTGTGTGTGTGTGTGTGTGTGTGTGTGTGTGTGTGTGTGTGTGTGTGTGTGTGTGTGTGTGTGTGTGTGTGTGTGTGTGTGTGTGTGTGTGTGTGTGTGTGTGTGTGTGTGTGTGTGTGGAAAGAGAGAGGGTGAGAGAGACAGAGTGGAAGGGAGACCTTTCAAGTTGCGTTGGCATAAATTCTCCAGCTGCTCAGTTCCTTTCTGAGGAGCTGAGGTGTTTATCTCCAGAAAATGAACAGCTTTGCCCAGAAGACCACAGATGCTTCTGTGCATCCTTTGAGTTTGTGTGTGTTTTTAATGTGTGTGTGTGTGTGTGTGTGTTGGAACTGTCTGTCCAACTTTGTCTTTGTTATATTTTGCTTTATAATAGTTTTGCCTATAAATAATCCAATCAATATTTCAGAGTTAAAACAAAGCTTATATCTTTTATATTGAGTCAAGTCAAGTGTACACAATATGCAAGAGGGACGACTGCGAGCTCCAGATGTGTGTGTGCACAAGAAGTGTGCATCATTGAAGTTTAAGTGGATGGGAAAGAACTGTGTGTGCCACAACTGGGTATCTGTCTGTGTGTGTGTGTGTGTGTGTGTGTGTGTGTGTGTGTGTGTGTTACTGTATTTGTTGTACTGTACCAGCGCTGGCAAGACTCCAACTACCGCAGCCCCAGCCGTGCGCAGAGAGGGCGGCACGTGTTGGCACGGCGCCCAACTGTAGGCAGGCCCATTATCTCTCATTAGCACAAAAAAAAACTCATTATACAAAAAACACTCTAACCAAGAGAGAGAGCATTTATCTGCTGCCTGACCTTGAGAGAGTTCCCATTGCTTTTCATGTAGCTAAACACACACACACACACACACACACACACACACACACACACACACACACACACACACACACACACACACACACACACACACACACACACACATTGTGGGTGAGTGCTCCATTGTTGTAGATGGAGTGTAACTTGAGTTTGCCCTTGTTTTGGAGTGTGTAGGGTACGCTCTGAAGTCTTTGCAGTAGAAAGGGATTCAAATCTCAAACACACACACTGCTGTGTTTAGGATGTTCTTCCAGATCCCTCAAGGAAACATATGGGCATCTAACTCAAAACAAAACAAAAGACACAGGGGTGATGATTTGGGAGTCAAGCAGGTTTCATTATTATGACCTCCTCACGGCTCACTCTGGGTAAGTGTGTTTGAAAGTACACACCCGTAACTCCCAGCTCGCTGCTCCGTAGTGCTGAGGATTTCTGAATATTTGAATATCATCTTAAGTTCACCTCAGTTCGTGCTCTTGGTGTTTAATGCTAACATGTAACCCTTGCATGTACAGCAGCACAGGATTTACACTGTTTGAGTCAAGATCAGTGGGGGCAAACATGAAAAGAGAATTCTTTCTGAAACCAGTTTAGTGTCGTCGAACCTACATTTTCAGCATGTTATCTTTAAAAACTGAAATATTAACGCTAGACAACATGATCTGCTTTCATGCAATTCACCAGATATACAATTATGGAGACGCATATGACTGCAAAAAATAACTTAATGTTCTGCTATCATTTTCCCTGGTCCTTCTCTTCCCTTCTCTATCAGACGTTTGGCCCTGTTCCTATAAACCATTATATTCATCATCGTTAAATGCAGTTAATGTGTCTACATAACCTGAAGCATGGCTAGCCTTCTCCTACAGATGATGGTCACACACACACACACACACACACACACACACACACACACACACACACACACACACACACACACACACACACACACACACACACACACACACACACACACACACACACACACACACACTTTCTCTCAACAGATGTTGAACAGCAGTGCTAATGGAAAGTCAATGGGGAGGAACAATGTTAGCAAACAATAATGCATTGTTCTCTCTAATGCATGGGTGTGCGTTTACACACACACACACACACACACACACACACACAAACACACACACACACACAAACACACATAAACACACATGCACACACCAACACACACATAAACTTAAATACACACACATGCACAGACTGGTAGGCATTAGTTCTACTCCGTGATCATTGCTCAGCTGGTTGATTCTCTAGTTGACCATGTTTCCTCTCTGTTGAACAAATAGGTGTTAAATGTTAATTGAAAACTCCTTAGCGCCTTCGAAAACGGTTATATAAGTGACTATCCATATTAAAGAATCTACGAGCAATATTAGGGTTTACATCTGCTTGATATACTGTTGCATGGAAGATTGCTGGGTTTCATGAAATACAAATATATAAAGGATCATGTCTCATCCACTTAAACAATATCATGGTTCAGACGTAGCAGAACGGATACATTAGATGTTGTCTCTTATCTAAACATTGTCTTGTTGTGTGTTGTGAAATGCAGAGATGAGTGGACAGAGGCCATCCAGATGGTGGCCGACAAGCTGCAGAGACAAGAGGAGGAAAGGATCCAGTGCAGCCCCAACACCAACATCGACAACATGGTGGAGGAGGAGATGGACATCTCCACCACGCACCACAAACGCAAGGTAACACAACAGGTGCGAACAGACCAACAAACTCATACTCACACACTGTGCTCAAAATCAAGGAATGATTCCAGCTGTAATATTGTTGTTCATTGTCATTATTCTGTCTTTGCTCAAAGAGTCCCTGATAACAAGAGCTTTAATTGTTTTTTCCATATTAAAATAAAGTAAAAGCATTAATGCAAACTTTTGTAAATGTAGTATTAAAGTGGCGTGGCAAAGGCTGGATGTATCAAGTAAACCAAACTGTCTAAAGCAGCGCGAGGCCCGTGAAGGCTCCACTGTGTTTAACACCCTAACACATTTTGCTTAAGTGCAATGTCAGAAATGTTAATGGTCAATATTGTTAGATTCGTCCAAGGGGGACCATTAACCTCAACATTAAATGTCATGACATTTTGGCCAGTAACTGTCAACAAATGTTGCTTCGGGACAAACTGTTAGATGGCGAAACGTACTAAGAAACTACCGAAGGAAATGTCTCTGTAGCAGCAAGTATTGAAATCAAATTTAGTAATCTTGTTTACATGATCGGTTCCTTAAATCCAAATTTAGCACATTTGAGGCTGTATTTTATTCAGGCTGAGTTATTGGCAGTTGTTTAGATAACATTTAACATTTGAGAGGTTTGCTTCTTTTGTTGAATGACAGAAACTATTTGTAGAAATCACATTTATATTCCTCAAAGCAATGTATCAAGAATAGCATTGGTACTCGACTGAAACATTTCAAAGGATACATGAACACTGCCTAAGTGGGACCTAAAAAAGACCATTTTAACTGTTATACTTGAGGCGTAAATTCATTACTGACATTCTGCGTTTGCCTCCTCAAGACAATGAGCGACTTCGACTACCTGAAGCTGCTTGGAAAGGGAACCTTCGGTAAAGTGATTCTCGTGCGGGAAAAGGCCAGCGGTAAATACTACGCCATGAAGATCCTTAAAAAAGAAGTCATCATAGCCAAGGTGAGTCTGAGAGACTGTTTGTGGCACTCCAGCCTTTTTTTCTGATTCCTTTTCATTTTGAGCATTTCATGGAGTGCTCTTCAACTGTTCATTTGGTTGATTGAATCTGTTTTTACCGTATCTGCGCAGGATGAAGTGGCTCACACACTCACAGAGAGCAGAGTACTGAAAAACACCAGACACCCCTTCCTCACTGTAAGTACCTCATTCACACTAAATACTTTAGCTGTTACGCATATGCAAATGTGCCGACATCTGTAAGAGAGCATGTTGAATACAGCATATTGATCCTTTACGTACCTGAGTCTCTGGAGACTAATTATGAGTGAGACACCAAATTGTTGTACATTAACAGCCGCATCTGTTCACTTTACACCGTCTTTCAAGTGCTCATACACACAACAATACAAGCCGCTGCTCATTTATATCAAAAAACAATGTAAACACACACACATTGTATATGAACGTTCTCACAAACACTGTTGTGAGAATGCATTCGTTTTACATCTGAGTTTACCCCCGTCACACCTGCAGCCACAAAGAGACTCCGACCAACTGTTCTTTTGTTTAGCGAGTTTCTTCCACAAAAGAAAAACACACATCTATTTGCTTTGAATAAGCAAATAGAGACATAAACAGTTTGAAGCTATGAAGGATCACGTTGTGCCGCTCCTGCTGTTTTAGACCAAATGGGACCGGACTACTTGCTGAGTATAAAATTGCTCACTTAAACTGGCTGTGCTCTGCGTAGGGAGTGCAGGTCAAATGTATTATTGGGCAAAATCAAAAACAATATTTGAGGCTTTTCAATTCATCCTATTGCACCGAAATAAAATAGAAATCTATTGTGTCGGTAAATGCATCATTAGCACTTGATTAGTAAGATTTGCTTACACACTATGTTTTCGTTTGCACTGTGGGATCATTTCAGTCCACTATGTGTCAAATTAGGCACCTGGCTACATAAGTGTGAATTGACAGAAATCAGAACACGCAACAGACACAATAAACATTGTATAAACATGGTGTTTATGTGTGTGTGTGTGTCTTTGTTTCAGTCATTGAAGTATTCATTCCAGACTAAAGACCGCCTCTGTTTCGTCATGGAATATGTGAATGGAGGAGAGGTAAGACGCACACACACACACACACACACACACACACACACACACACACACACACACACACACACACACACACACACTTTCATGATGGTTGTGCTGTATGTGGTTACCGGTCTTTGTGGTACCGCTTTAAACAGCCAGTTAAACCACAACTCCACCACACTAACTGACAGTGTTTAGGCACTCACTAACCCTACTCAATCTCGTTATACTCTGTGTATGATGACAATAAAAGGCTTTAACGTAACTTAAAGCTGTGTTAAAACGTGACTATGGATACACATTAATACCAAAAAGACACATTTCTTAGCTGTTTCTCTTATCTTGTATGTCCAATAATAGTTACATCAGGGTTATAAAAGGCGTTAATAATACATATAATTGCCATTCGATAGATATTTGTAATGTGGGGTGGGTTCCTTAACTTAGTTTATACATGTCTCTCAAAGACATATTACTTTTTTAAATAGGGAAATATTGTGTTTTTGGTGATGAACAGCCATAGCAGTGGAGCAGAGCAATGTAAAGACGTGGAAACACTCGAGAAGTGGCAACATTGTGTCTGTTCGATTGCTTTCTAACACAGTTAATTTGCCAACCAACTGGCCTCTCGCTTGCCTTCTCATTTGTGTTTCCCGCGCCACCCCTCTCCTGCTTGTGTCTATTTATGAACACACCTATGGGGCAGATATAGCCAAAATGACAGTCGGAGACGAAATGAGTTTGGATTCCCCCACTTTTCCATTTCTCAGATTTTTAATCGGGCCGTTTTTGCAATCTTGGTTCATTCCCTCAGTGTAACTGTCACCTGCTCCCCTCCCAGATAGTTAGGAAGTTCAGCCAGTGACAGGCCTGAGCAAACACACACACACACACACACACACACACACACACACACACACACACACACACACACACACACACACACACACACACACACACACAAAACACCAGCAATCACACATTCTAACACAAACACACAGAGCACATTTTTACCTCATAAGACAAATTGTGACCACACACACACACACACACATACACACACACACACACACACACACACACACACACACACACACACACACACACACACACACACACACAACCCATTACAAACCTGCCACAGTCACAGCTGCCAGTACACTGATGAAGGCCCACCTGTCGTGTTACCCCCTCTCACCACACCCCCACCACTCACACACACACACACACACATATTACACACGGACACCATTTGAGCAAGGTGGTCTGTGAGCATCACTCCAGCGGCCATATGCAAACCTCCCCGAACAATTAATGGGGAGATATGCACCCCTTGGCCTCATGGGTAATTTGTCCGACTTGACTGCTGCGCCGCAGCAGGCTGGTGTCATTTCAGTGCCACATGTGTAGCCGTGTGACAGTGACAACTCGACAACTGACAGCTAGGAAGTGAGAGAGAGATGAAGGGAATGTGAGGTGAGCGATGAAAAGGCAGGAAGGGGGAGAAACGAGAGGTCACGCCACCTGGGGAGAGAAACAAGTTGTGTTCTCTTTAAAGTATGGAAACGAGCGTCTTGGCAGGAGAGGGATGGATATGAGAATGGAGTAAATGAAGACGGAGGCTCAGGGGGCAAGGCCAGTTAGGCCCTAATGAGAGCTGCACTGGAGGCAGTTGAAATGGGAGGGGGGGGAGAGAGTGTTGGCGGCGGCGGCAGCAGCGGCGGTCGGCCTGTCTTTAACTAGACTGGTGTATTGATTAAACTCTTGATTTGGCCCCCGTCGCCGAACTCTACGCCAGCACCATGCCAACCTAGCCCAGAGGGTAACATGGAGAGGTATGTGTGTGTTGTGTGTGTGTGTGAGGGGAGATGAGGCGCCAGCTGCCGAGTGCCTCCATCCGCCGAGCGCCTCCACCCGCCCTCCTCCGAGACGCCCCCCCCCCCTCCCACCCAGCCACGAGCACCCCTCACACACAACCCCCCCTCCCCTCCGCTATCTATCATCTCAATATGGTGCGGGCAGCCAGTTTGTGTTGTGCTAATTTCCTCCAATAAATCAGTAATTATTGCTGTGCCGTCCCTGCTGTCTCTCCCCCCTCTCTCCCTCACTCTCTTCCTCCCTCTTTCTCCCGCAGCTGTTTTTCCATTTGTCCAGAGAGCGGGTGTTTTCAGAGGAGCGCACGCGCTTCTACGGTGCCGAGATCGTTTCGGCTCTCGACTACCTGCATTCAGCCAAGATTGTGTACCGGGACCTCAAGGTAAACAGAAGCAGAGAGGGGAGGGGAGGCTGGTTTGGGGGCATGGATGAGAGTGATCAGATATTTGGGGGAAAACTTTTTGTTGTGCCCCCACACCTTGTGTTCCAGAGTTTGTTTATTTGCATCCAGGAGGAGAGGAGTGGTGCAGGATGTGTAGTAATTAAGAGAGGGATGGGGAAAAGCCCACACAGACATTAAGCAGTAAAGAAGTGTGGGAGGGGGGGGTGCTGATGCCACAGAGGGAGAGAGGTAGATGTCTGAGTGTCTGCCTGGCAGCATTGGCTCTGCTCACAGCAGCCAAGAAAACAGAAAGGAGAAAAAGCAGACAGAGAGCGAGAAAAACACTTCAGCCATTAAAATGTAAAGGTTGAGTGGCTCCATAACATGCCTGAAGTGTATCTCCCTCCTCTGCCTGTTTGTGTGTCTGAGTGTGTGTGTACTGCAACAATGTGGGGGAATACGATATGAGTTTCCTCACCGGCAAAACGAATTGTATTCAATAAAAAAGCGAGTATTGTATTGATTTTCAGTCGCAAATGATGACACAATAAGAGATCAATTTCCACTGATGTTTGAGTTGCATTGTGGGAACTGATGTGTATTTTCTTTCCCCTCCCAGTTGGAGAACCTGATGCTGGATAAAGACGGGCATATCAAAATCACAGATTTCGGCCTCTGCAAGGAGGGCATCACAGACGCTGCTACCATGAAAACCTTCTGTGGCACGCCCGAGTACCTTGCTCCTGAGGTAGGCTCTTTAATCTGTGGACTTTAGACTCTTTCTCTCATTTCTTGGTGCTTACATTTCAAAGTATTTTCACATTTCCACTCGATGTATTTGATCTTTAACACTATTTTACCCATCTGTACTCTATATAGCCATATCATGCATTTAGTTAAGTGTGCAGCAGTAGAATAACCTTTCATTCCTGGGTTTCTAACAACCAGAAGTAAGGTATGAATTTGAAGGTCATAAATAATGATACAGCATCTTTGCCATTCAAAGGGGATTTAAAAACAGTACCATCTTTTTAGCAGGGATTTTAGCATCAAATCGAAATTCAGATTCCTTAGCACGAATACACATTACTGTTACTGACTACAGAAGTTTATTTTTTTACAAAATGGTAGTTTTTATGCTTCAATTTTAGGTACGACAACTATCCATCTGCTCAATAATCCTAAATGTGTTCTATCATAAAACAAACCTGACTATGCAAAATAAACATCAATATATATCTTAAATGATATTTTACACTCCATTGTGAGAGTGATTACATAAAGTAGGGGTATTTTGTTTACATGATGTATATGTGACCAAATGATGATCGATTAGATAACCACACCCACAGCACAATGTAGACTCTTCCAATACGACACAATCATTAAATAGTACAAATGCACCTGATGAATTACATACATATATACATTACATGCAGATCTTGACTGTTTGTCAGGATCTCTAAACTGAGCAGATTGACTCAGTCTTTGTAGTGCTTAAAAGCATCGCCACCCTTTACCCACAATGCACTTCATCCTCTGACGTTTGAAACCTTCTTATGGTGGATTTTATGCATGTGCATTTTAATTTGCAAACACTTTCCATAATATCAGGGTGAACAGTAAATATGCAGCTTATACGTGTGAACGAGGGTGTCGGTTGAATTGGAAAAGGGCACAGCGCGCACACACACACAAAACTACATTCTTGTAATAATTTTTTCAGTCATCCGCTGTCCAGCCAACAGCGCTGCTTCACTCGAAGGCCGCAGTGAGCTGGCGAGGTGTTGCAGGGCTGTGGGTGGTGGAGACAGAGCGGTGTAGATGTGGAGATGAAGGCAGCAGTGGAGAGGCATAGTGTATATCCCACTTGAAAAAGTATGGAGGACAATTTGGCGCAGCATTTTGTGCTTTTTTTTTTTTTTAGAGTCCCTTCCTTTGCGTGCCAAAAGCTGATTGGAGGCTGTTGGTTATTTTTCACAGGATGTGCGTCTGTGTGCATTTATGTGTGTGCGCGTGTGTGCTGTGTGTGTGATTGCAGTAGAAAGTGCGGGCTAAAGCGAGGCAGATGGCGGCAGATGGGCGAGGTTGGAGGAAGGTGCTCGGAAAAAACCTGGAAATCTACACCACCGCCGCCGCCACTCACCCGCCCGCACGCTCTGCTCGCCCGCCCGCGTGTAAAAATAACACAGTTTGCTCGGAGCCAAGTTACAGAGATGCAAAGTAGCCGGGATTAAAAAGAGAGGGGGGGGTTGAAGACAGAGGAAGATGAGAAGGAAGATAAAATATTTCAGGGTTACAGGAGTGAAATTCAGACACTTCCCATGTTTGCCATCAGAGAAGAGGGCAGATGAGAGGGTTTGTGTCCGCTGCCTGGAGGAAGTCATACATTCAGATACTTCAGCTACACAAAGCTGGGAATGAGTCTAAACTGTACTCTCCATGCATTAGATAGGTTCTTTATTGAATCAAAGATAGTCAAAAACAATCACGAATACCAAACAATGAGCAGGTCCTTTCTAAAGGGATGGAACAGAGTCAGAGAAAACACATGGGGAGTGTTTTCTCTGTTTTCTCATATTTTTTATGGTTGACACATTTCTCCGTGGCTATTTTTTTATCAAGTGTTGAATGGAATGGATTTGAGCCGACTCCATTTATTTGTTTGTTTTTATTTTGTTTGTATATGTTTTGCATTGTAGGTTTTTTTTAATTTTTTTTACTGTTACCGTAAATGTTTCATAAACATAACAGCACAGTCAGCTGTTAGTGAAACATGCAAAATGTCAAAAAAACAGTGTCAACACAAACCGGTTTCCAAATGATGACACTTTGGAGATAGAAGGTCTCCGTGTGACACCGACAATATGTGAGTGTACGTTCACTGTGCCCAGTATATGAGGTGTGTGTGTATGTGTGTGTGTTCCCTGTAGCCTGCTGGGTATCTGGGCTGGTATAGCCACAGGCTGTGTGTGCCCGTCCCATCTAGTGGTGTCCAGGCTGCCAAAGCCCCCGCCCCCCGAGCAGCGCCTCGCTGCCACATGGCCGCCCCAACAGGGACCTGCAGGACAGGACCTTTTAATCACAGCTTTTTCTCTACTCTTCTTCTTCTTCCTCTCTTCTGTCGCGTCCTGCTGATTTTTCTAATTTGTGACTTCTACCGTCTTGTCCTATTTATTTGTCCTGTCTGTTTCTAAAATATACACAAGCACAAGCGCACACACACTACCATGCGTCCATGCCTAAGGCTGTGGGGCAGCATTCTGGCTCTGTGTGGATTAATCTGCTCCCTGCCTGCAACCGAGCTGCTACTGTACCACTTTCTTTGGTCCCAGGACACACAAACACAAACACACACACCCTTTCTCTAACATGCACATACATATATACATGCCCAACTGGACTGTTTGTATTTCTATACATTTCTGTACCTTTTTGTGCACAGACTCAACGAGCGGCCTTGTAGATCAGAATGGAAAACAGCGTTGTGAGCTGCTCTGAATTTCATAAACCCTGCAGGGACTGAGGACACCAAACATTAACTAGTTTGTCTCACTCTCAAAACTTTATGAATTTGATGAGGACAGGATAAATATTCCATCTGCTGTGTGGTGTGTGTGTGTGTGGTGTGTGTGTGTGTGTGTTGTGTGTGTGTGTGTGTGTGTGTGTGTGTGTGTGTGTGTGTGTGTGTGTGTGTGTGTGTGTGTGTGTGTGTGTGTGTGTGTGTGTGTGTGTGTGTGTGTGTGTGTGTGTGTGTGTGTGTGTGTGTTGTGTGTGTGTGTGTGTGTGTGTGTGTGTGTGTGTGTGTGTGGTGTCAGTGTCTGACAGTCTCCCAGCAGTCTAAGCCAGTGTTATCCCTCCAGCCGTACCAATCAATAGTATATCTGGAGCTGGCGGCGCGCTAACGTTCCCTAGCTCTTCTCTGCAGCTGCCAGCAGGGTGACCAGCATTATTCCCACACAAAAACACACACATAAAATAGCACTCATAACTCTTTTATTCACTTCCACGCACATGTTGCCTTGCACACACTGCAGCAGCCGCCTGCATCATTAGCAGTTTAGTGTTGAGTGTGTGAGCTCCGTCAGTTAATGACCGGCTCTCTGTAGCATCGAGCTGCTGTGAAACTGTTTGCTGTTATTTCTCATATAGTATCAGTGCAATGACATTTAAGAGTAACTGCAGAGAGAAATGTTAGAAAAAACCACTTTCATTCAACTTTGGCGACGGTATTACAGTATCTCTCCCACAGATATAAGGCTTTAAGATGCAGGATTTCTGATTTGATTACATTGAATATGAAAACCAAAATAGGAATTATTTTTGCTTCAAACTGAGATATTCCTCTTTTTCTTATAGATTTATCAGATGTAGCATCCTTCATTTAGAAATATCATACTCATGGATTTATATTGCCGTTTTGACGCCCAAAGCTGAACATAAATAACCTTTTTCTCATCTTTAGATACAATTATTAAACTATCATTTGCCTGATCCTTGGAGTTGTCAATGTGGAGCTCACACACTTTCATATGAGGCTTTAAATGTGTGGTTTATTGGTTTGTAGGTTATGTATTTTCACAGTAAGTCTGCAGTTTGGATAAACACGTCTCTACTCTAATCAATCTAAGCTATTTATGTATTTGTGACACTCGTACTATCTGCATCTGCCACCTGTCTCGCTTCTACTAATGGCAGATATTAGCTTAGTGTATGGTATATTTGAAATATTTTAATATTATGACATTTGCTGTAATTTCATCCTGTAGTTTATAATAGTGGTGTCGAAAAGATGTTTATGTGCTTGAATGCATTCACATACGTGTGTCTATTATCGTCCACCCTGACTGGTCCATTATTATTATTATTATTAGCCTTGAGTGAGACGTTATTGTTATCGTAGAGATGTGCAACGTATGCTGTTCTGGCTGCTCTCCAGCACTGTCACACACACACACACACACACACACTTACACACACACACACACACACACACACACACACACACACACCACACACACACACACACACCCACACACAACACACACACAACACAGCACCCTGAAATACCTCTCTTCCTGCGTCTGCATCCCTTTCCTCCTTTTAACTTTCCTTGTGGAGAGCAAACAGGAACACGAGAGCGTTAAAAGAGAAGGAACGAGCGAGGGAAGACATGATTAGAAGACGGAGGATTTGGGATAAGACAGGCAGGGAATAAGATCAGGACGGCAGCCCACACTTTGATACGGCGGAACAACAGCAGCTCTCAGTCTGCCCGTACAGTACCTGAGAGCCAGCTCTGAGGGGGGGAGGGCGGCCCTGACCCCTGCTGCTGTTCCTGCCTTTTTCATCCAGGGACGGTCCTCTCTGCCCCTGCCAGCAGAAGGAGCAGTTTGCCAGGGGAGAGCTGGCAGGGACCGGGGGGGAACGGCCAGCACAGTGACTCCCTTACTGTACCGGGGGCCTCTGAAGACCTTGCCATCCCATGATGTGTGTGTTTGTGTGTGTGTGTGTTGCTACTTTCTGTTCTTCTTGGGCAACTTTACTGTATTTTTAATGTATCCTTCGTGCAAAATGGCATATTGGCTCTCCTTTCCTCGGGCACTCTGTATAGTCCAATGAAATACACGCAGAATTAAAGCAGATGTCCAATAAAACAAATGGTCCCATTTACAAAAAAAGCAACCTTGTGTATCTGTCTCTTTTTTAGGTCCTGGAGGACAACGACTACGGCCGAGGCGGTGGACTGGTGGGGTCTGGGCGTGGTGACGTACGAGATGATGTGCGGACGACTGCCGTTCTACAACCAGGACCACGAGAAGCTGTTCGAGCTTATCCTCATGGAGGACATCAAGTTCCCCCGCACACTGTCCTCCGACGCCAAGTCCCTGCTGTCAGGCCTGCTCATCAAAGACCCCAACAAACGGTGTGTGTGTGTGTGTGTGTGTGTGTGGTGTGTGGTGTGTGTGTGTGTGTGTGTGGGTGTGTTGTGTGTGTGTGTGTGTGTGTGTGTGTGTGTGTGTGTGTGTGTGTGTGTGTGTGTGGTGTGTGTGTGTGTGATGTAAGAGTGCTAAAAGGTCGGGGGGAAAAGTTTGCAGGTGAATCATTTTGGTCGCTAACATCAGAAATGATCTCTTGCTATATATTGACGCACTAAAGATATCTCTGCACATATGAAGCTTACATAAGCAAATATCATTTCTCAAACACAGTATCTCTCACATATATTCACAACATTATTGTTGAATGATGTTTTATTGGATCTTAAAAAATACTTCTTTACCGTAATTACCCGTAGGCCTATGTTTGTTTCTGGTGTGTTCACCTTTCTCTGGTCCTCTGATTGGATCATTTACAGCATCTGTGTACACCCCAGCTGTAACAAATTCATTGTGCAGGAGTTTTTATTTTAATTTTATTCAGTATATTTTGCTTAAGAAAGTGAATAAATATCTTCTAATTACTTCCGACGATATATATAAGTTTGATTACTTTCTGTTTGCTTTAAATTAATTGTTGCTTCTATCCTCTGATCTCAGTTTGTTTTAACAATCCTCTCGTGTCCTCTAGGCTCGGTGGAGGACCAGATGACGCTAAAGAAATAATGAGACACAGTTTCTTCTCTGGCGTGGACTGGCAGCATGTTTATGATAGAAAGGTATGAAGTGATATAATAATAATGCGCACTTAGCTATTGTTTCATGCTGTTCTCGTACCCTCTAGTTATGAAGCACAATGGGAGGGCAGGTAGATAACAGTTATTTAACTCCCATTCGTTTTCTAAGTGATTGTGTGTACATTGTATTCATTTAAAGCAGGGGTGGGGAACCTCTGGCCTCCGGGCCGTAGATGGTCCGCGAGACCATTGGATACGGCCCTCGAGGTCATTTATAAACACACGCAAAATGATAATAATTTAGATTTAGAAATCTAGACCGCAAAATAATTAAACAAGCGAGTGCCTGTTTTTCCTGTCCAATTTCAGGGTCCTTGAACACAACACGAGCCTAACGTGTCATCACGTGGTATTAGTCTCGTCTGACACATAGGCCGTTTCTCAATCGCGAGGATGCTTGCTTGGTAGCATATGTCTTCCGAGTCACTTCCTTCAGAAGCTAATCAAGAATCCTTCCTGGTAATCGGAAAACGAAGAGTGGAACAGGCTAGCAAGTGTGCAGGTGTGCGTCATATGAGAGGCCCCGCCTTACATTTTCCGCCACAGATTTGGGGAAATTGGTCCGTGCGCAAAGCATTGTGGGGATTTGAAGGACGCGAAGTCTACCCATGTGCAGCCTCGAAATTACCCCCAAACCAAGAACGCGGCCTCGGTGGAATTCCAAGTATGCTGGAGATTGGAACAGTCCTTCGGCGGCACTCGATGACGTAGTATCCTTGAAATATTGGCTTGGAAGCCAGTTTCCTCGCGATTGAGAAACGGCCATAGACTGTATATATAAAGGTCTGACAGCGGTGTAGAGCATGGATGTATAATAAGCATGGATGTATAATAAGAACTGGATACAGCGTGGGAGGCGGGGTCTTGTTCTTTCCTATGAGAGCTGCTCATTGGCGCATGAAGTAAAAATGGCCCAACTTTTGAGAGAGCGAAACGTCACAGATTACCCATCATGCCTGGCTGCCAGAGCAGAAGAACCCGTATGTGCGCTCACAGAGCATGTGCCCCCTTAAGCCCCCGCTCCCCGAGCTCCCACTCTCGGCTCACTAGAAAGAATGGAGAGAGAAAATAAATCTAGATTCGGCTTTTAGTGCATTTTACAACTTTAAGGACTTGATGATTATAATAAGGGCTATAACATAGTTCATACTGGGTAGGGTAAAAAATGATCCGCTGATTTACAGACGTCTCTTTCCCCATGTTAGTCAATGGGAAAAAGTTGTTTTGGGCCGGGTGATGTCACGGACTGATACGGAAGTTGCAGTGCCGCCGTTTGGACACAACGAATATCCGGAGCACTTCCTGGGGGCTTGATAAGAGGTAGAGTGCTGACGGAGGGTGTTTCTCAATGTAAAGCTGCTCCAGAGCCACTATTTCAAGTATACTACGTCATCGAGTCCCGCCGAAGTACTGTTCCAATGTCCAGCATACTTGGAATTCTACCGAGCCAGGTGTAGGCTACTTCGTTTGGAGAAATTTCGAGGCTGCACATGTGTAGACTCCGCTGTCTTAAAATCCCCACAATGCTTTGCGCACGGACCAATTTCCCCAAATCTGTGGCGGAAAATGTAAGGCGGGGCCTCTCATATGAGTATGACGCACACCTGCACACTTGCTAGCCTGTTCCACTCTTCGTTTTCCGAATGCCAGGAAGTATTCTTGCCTCGTTTCTGAAGCAAGTGACTCGGAAGACATGTGCTACCAAGCAAGCAAGTGTAGGCCTACTCGACATTGAGAAACACCCGGAGAGCACCAGAACTCCGCTCCGGCACTTCATTTAAAATTGCAGTACCCATAAGGAGCCGTACACATGCCGCAGTTTTTGCGTGGCTGTGTCTTTAGTTGAAAGCCCAGTAGCGATCTGTCATACTGATCATACAGTCAATAACTTTGTTGTTATTAGCATCTGGTTAGCTAGCTGTGCTAACGAATATAAGAAGCTTTTTCTACAACCAGTGAGGTAAAGGCACATCTTTATATGATCATTATAGTTGTAAAAAAAACAAGAGAATAAATGAAAAACAGATATAAAATACTATATGACAGTAAAAAAAAGCTGTTATTAATAAACAAGAATACAGTTTGAAAGGGGAGTGATTTGTAAAATATCCATAAAGATAAATAAAATCTGCTTACAGTTCTGTTTCATATAGGTGTTGAGAGATGTATCCATAGAGCTCCTAATGTTGCTCTCAAAGTGCACCAGATTGATGCTTTTAACTTCACCATTTACATTTTCTTTTTTATTTCCTTCCCTTTCCATTTCCTCTCCTTTCCTTTTCTCTTTCATTCCTCCTCCTCTCATTTCCCTAAACTCTTTTTTCTCTCTTCTCTCCTCTTTTTATTTCCTCATCTCCTTTCCTCTATCCTTTCTTCTTCTCCCTCCACATTACTCTCCTCTTTCCTTTGTTTCCAATTCATTTTTGCCTTACTGCCATGACTAAGGACAATCATCCCAAAGTGTAAGGTTATAATGAGATAATAAAGAAAAGGATCATTCATTAGAAATCAGGAAAATGGCAAAAGAAAGAAAGTTTGTGTCGAGTTTGGTGTCCTTCTAACATCTGCTCTGTAGTTTGAAAGTTATCGTACAACCTCACCTGTCCCCTCTTTGTCCTCCTCTCCTCTCAGATGGTTCCTCCCTTCAAGCCTCAGGTGACGTCGGAGACGGACACCAGATACTTTGACGAGGAGTTCACGGCCCAGACCATCACGATCACTCCACCAGAGAAATGTGAGTCTCCCTTTCTCTTTATCACGCAGAACAGATGCTCACATTAACATTTGTTTTACATAACTGAGGATATTCTTAGTGTATAGAGAAGTAGAGAAAATAAGCAGAATCTGAAGAAGTGTGTGTTTAACAAGTGTTGAGATTAATATTACACGCACATCCCAGCAAACAATGTACAGTGAGTGCTTTATGTGTTTTCATATACTTGAAGTACTTCAGAGGATTATGATGTTAACAAAGTGTTTTGTTTAGAAGTTTGAATAAATTATGTTTTGTTTGTTAGGCACCTAAAAGTGATACAATTCTACTTTTAACTCACTTTGATTACTCGTTTAAAACAATATATGTGCTACTGCTCTTTCTTGAGGTGAGATATTTCACCTTAAATTAACTGAGGTAACAGACACTCTGAATGTGTCTCTGTAATAGTCCCTCAGGCCATGCAGCTCTTCACAGGTTTTTGGAATAAAGACGCCGGTTTCAGCGCTGAATTATGCATGAGTGGAACCGATGTGTTTCTCCGCGCTAATGTGAGGTTCCCACTTGTTTTCTAGGTCGCACATCAGTCAGTTAACAGGGGGTTGTCACATCGGAGACACACTCATTAATTGAATTTTGTTCCGTTTAAACCTGCAGTACAACACCTTAATCCTAATGAAAAATCCACCTGATTATATACTTTTATTACACAGTCTAGTTTAATACTCGATTCTGATTGGTCAATTCGGACATTTCAGAGGTTGTTAACACTAGATAACACACTGCTGCTAAGCAAAATAATGTTGTTGAGGGGGATCAACGGAGCGAAAAAGACAGAGAAATCTACACATAAGGGCAGACAGGAAGTACACCTGGGTTTGGACTCTGGGATCGTCCGTATTAGTCATGGCAATAAGGCAAAATGAATTGGATACAAAGGAGAGAGGGGAGGAAGGAGGAATGTGGAAAGAGAAGAAGAAAGGATAGAGGAAAGGAGATGAGGACAGAAAATGAGGAGAGAGGTGAGGAGAAGAGATAAGGAAGGGAAGGAGGACAGAAGAGAGAAAAAAGAAAGAATTTAAGGGAACTAGAGTAGATGAGGATATGAGAGGAGAGGAGGAAGGAAAGGCATGGGAAAGAAGGACAGATAAGGAAAGGAAATAAATGAAACGATAGAAAATGGAAATAAGGTAAGTGGAAAATAAACTGTGAACACATTGGGACAGTTACAGAAAACATACTCATATTCTGATTTTGAATTGTCATGAATTATGTCTGTAATTAACTCTGAATCCAAACGTTTCTTTAGTCGACGAGGACGGGATGGACTGTCTGGACAACGAGAGACGACCGCACTTCCCGCAGTTTTCCTACTCTGCCAGCGGGCGGGAATGAACTGTTGTCACGGTGACATCATCACAGCTGGTCTCTGAGGTCATCAGCGTGGGACAGAAAGACCCACAGCTTTGGACCGACCCAAAAAGACTTGAAGGATTTTTCCCCTCTCCTCCTCGTCCTCTCTTTTTCACCTCTGCAGTCTGCTTCCATTTTTTTCTAATTTTGGTGAATCCCTTTTTAGAAAGAACTCCCAGGCAAATTTACTTGTGATCCTGCACTGCAGCCCTAGGTGATCCGAACTGTGATGTGATCAGTTACTATGTAATGTCCCTTTAATGACAGGAGCATCACCGGTGGCCTGCTGTGCTTGACATGTGTCAAACTCCTAAACTGATCCACTTAGAGAACAGCTGATGTGTTTTAAGGAGGCTTCTCATCAGTAAGAAGGAGATATAGCATTTCATTCAAACCTAAACTGCCGTTACCGGTTGTATCTCAGGCTTTTTGCAAACAGAGAGATGCTCTCAGACTCAGAGACACTCGGGTCTGGTTTCAAACCTTCACCTTAAAGGTTCGGGGATTGATTGAGGCTGCCTTGCATTTGCAGTTGTCACCAGTGAGATGAATCCTGAAGCAGGATGTCACTCAGGTTTTGCTCAGTGCAATCCATTATTATTGTTGCTGCTATTTCAACTTCTACAGGTACTACTACTACTACTACTACTACTACTATATACTGCTACTACTGAACCCGGTGCTACACTGCTAGCTTAATGCTGCAGATCATTATACAGGCGCCAGCAACACATCAAACACTTTATTAATGTCTATGCTTGAAAAGCTGCAGAACAGCTGTTGCTATGTACAGCTCAACTCTGTAGGTTATTATAGGATGTCATGTTTGTGTGAGTGCGCAAGATATTATAATAGGTTTGTGTTTAAGATCGCACTTCAAAGCACAGCAGTTCAGAAGGATGAAGCTCCCAAACCATGAGCTTTACTACATTACCCACAGTGCAGTGCAAGGTGGTTCATGTATCCATCTGTGAGGAGGTGAAAACGAGAGGAAGACAGTTAGTTTTGAATGTTTTTGTTTGTTTATTTCTCTAATTCCCTCTGAGTGTAATTCTGTCGTGTCCCTAAAGAGAACAGGAAAGTGAGACGCTCTTCGTGTCGATGACGAAGCTTTACCGTGACGAGTTGTTGTCACGGCTTTTTGAACCACATGGCTGTACCTCTCTGTCTCTGAAGGAAAGAGAGACTGACGCAGGAGCAGATTCACCACAGAGTGAGAAAAAAGTCCAGGCCGGGCATTGGTGATAAGATTAAAGAGAGAGATTACAGGTGAACAGCTCCAAGAAGGATGACATATTTATAAAGTGATAATTTATTATGTATTAATGAGTGAGATTACAGCAGATTTCCTGTGAGATTGTTACGAAGGGTTTTTGTATGGTCTGTTAGGGAGGTACTCATCAACATTAATGGGTTTACCACCAATCCCAGCAATGGCTATAGTATATATATTATATATTATTTAATATATTATATATATATAATGTTCTATTTATTGTTCTACTCATCGCTTTTATATTTAACTTTTTCTATTGTTATTACATTATTCTAGAAAAAAATATTTCTTAGGGCTGAGAGACGAAGAAAAGGCACCTCAAGAAACGAATACGGCTGAAAGAATGTAGGAGGGAAAGCAGATAGCCTTCCTTTTCCATCGTTTGTTTCAATTATGTGTTGTTTTGTGACCAACATGTGACAGCCCAGTGTTGACAGGACGCATTAAAGACAGACGTTAATTCACCCAGAAAAAAAACCCCAAATATATTTATACAAACACCTTTATCAATCCAGATCATCCCACAGGTGTTTGCTATGAAAGCTCATCTCACTGTTTGGTTATTAAAACACATGGTGCCCTTATTTAATCTCACCACAGGTGTGTTGGGAAAGCTGAGGCAGGGGGCAAGAGAGGAAGTGGAAGTTGAGCAGAAAGTGCAGCACAGAATGTAAAGCGGTAAGGTTTCATGTTGAACTGTAAGTGCTATTTTTTAAGTGAGTCGAGAAAGTCGAATGATATAAGGGATATCTAATGTGAGTTTGTAAGGTGGGTCATTTATTTTGATTGTAGATGAGAAAGAGCATTTTCCTTTATGTAAGAGAAGGGATTTTCTTCTGTCTTTAACGCGACTGCCTCCTCTTCGCTGGACGTTGTTTGTCTGCGTCGTCATGTCTTCCAGTCTGACCACCAAGATTTCAGATCCCCTCAATTCCTGTCTTCAAACGCCAGTAAGCCTTATGGTTTATCTCAGAATAAGTCAAACATTTTAAAATCCAGCAAAAAACACATGAGGAAAAACATTTTTTTAATCTGAAAGGTTATTTGAATTTTAAAACACTTGTGGAAGACCCTAATATCTGGATGACAGATTACAGAGAGCACCAGGGGATGTGCTCTTATAAGGCGTAGAAAACTGTATTCAATATTTATTTGAATGTTTTATTCTTATCATTGATGGATAACTTGAATTTATTTTCTATTTAATTTATTTAATGTTATTTTGTTTTGGAGTTTAGCAGTAAGGGGGTGTAGTCGTGTTTCGCTCTGCAGTTTAAGTCTCCAGAGATGTTGTCCTTGAAATAAATGCCGGCATCTCTTATACGACACATTACCTGTTTTTCCCGCTGCTCTCAAGTCCATCTGCTTTTCACTTGCACATCCATTAAATTGCTACTAGCTGGCAAAGGCGCTTTATGGCAGAAAGTAGAAAAGGACGGCATGCTGCAGTCCTCTGTCCGCAGGCCTGAGTCAAAGTGGCACTCAGAACTCTTATGAGGACTGCTTCTCTGTGATCGATTGAGCCTGTCTGGCACAGCTGAAGCAGCCGAGGAGTTCAAAATGAGAGCAGCTCCCTCCCCAGCTGGCACCCTCGTCAGGCTCAAGCAAACGCTCCCAAGTATTTGGAAGGATTTGTGCTTTGCTTTGACCCAGGTCTGCGATGTCTGAGGAGCTCGAGCTGTATGTGCGCGCTTCCCGCCAAAATCAGTAGAAACCAGAGTTCATAAAATACCGCTTGTAGCTTTGGCCACGGCACTTTTACATCCATCACTTTTTATATGAGTCAGAAGAATCTGATTCAGCCCTGCTTTAAAGGAAGATTTTTAGCTTTTTTTATGTTTTTAAGAAATGAGGATTTTTAAAGCACATCTCCCCTCACATACGACCGATAGCTTTCATGTTGCTCTGATGTCTCGGTCAGCGCTGCAGAATCACGCTCAGTCCGTTGGTCAGTCTTCATAAACTCACAATCCACTGATGTCCCAGACTCCTTCCCTCCGTTGAGCCTCTGCTTTTATCCATTCCAAGTTTATTTACTGGCAGCAAAAATGCTTATTCTAAGGTAAGAGATAAAAAAAAAAAAAGTGATCCTCCAACTACTGTAAGTGGAGAAGATGGAGCTCCTCATGAGTGTAGGGTTCCTCTTAAAGACTATGAAACAGTTGTGGACTCATGTCAGTCATTCCTTAAACTTTAAGGACCTTTTTAAAGTTCACTCTTAAAGCTGCTGCTGTTTGTATTGTTCATCTATACTCAACAGAACAGATTTGGATGAAATGTAACAGACCTCAGCTGCTCTGTTTTGATCTCGTCTGTTAATGAACCGACAGTGTGCGCCAAAGTCAGAAAACACGTCTGTTTAATGCAGAAAACGAGTAAACAGCTCCGGCGTTTGGAAGGATTTCTGAAAGTATTCGACCTCCCTCTCTTCTTCCTCTGGTCTTCTATCATCATGATTATTAACATGAACAAGCATGAGATGCATTTATTTATAAGCAGCAAACAAAAAGCAGCGAAACATGTAAAAGTATTACAAAGTGTAACTGAGTTTTAATGTCATGTCCATCTGCTGTAGCTTACAGCTGTGTGAGATATTTCCCAGAGGGCCGTGTTTCCCTGACGCTCTGAAACAGTCTGGAGGTGAAACAGAGAGCTGCTGGCCGGTGAGCCGCCAGGATGTGAAAACAACAGATTACCATCAACATGAAGCTGTTTTTTACACTGTACATCCTTAGTATTTTTACACAATGTATATGATACATTATTTTCCTTCTTACAGACGGCTTCAATAAAGCACTATGTCAATCTGCTGCACTGGTCACAACTCTTCATTTCCTTTGTGGCTAAAGAATACTATTTTCTGAACTTTCTGATCAGTTTAAAACCACTTAAACCCCACGGCGCGGGCGGGGCAAAACGCAACATCTTGCAAGAAACAGCGTCTGAGAGCTTCTTAACATTTAATAAACTATGAATGTGTCATATCCACTTAACGGGAAGAAACTCAGCTAACTGACGATATTAACAATTTTTTGCAAAACGAATCATAAGGGTAATAAATGCTAACGCACTTAGCAAAGAACTCACGTTAAAATACCCTTATTACTTATCGAATCTGCACAAATAATATATCGATTAGCAAGCTGAGATCCCACAGATTCCAGAAATATAAGTATCATCACTGAGCGACCAGAACTCGCGGCATGGGAAACAAAACCAGATATCACACCACGTAGCTTTGGGTAGCAAACACGGGACATTGACTTACCTTTTTGCTGTTTCTGATCAAAAGTTGTGTTCAATGGCATTAAAACGATAACAACGCTGCTGAAGGTTAATCCAATGTGTCTGTGTCCCTTTGAAATGATTACTGATAATCCATCATCATTTATGTCAATAACAGAGATTTCATATTAGCTGCTACGAGAGTGTATGACAGCTTCCGGTATTGGGCTTTCTGGCTACGCATCACTCATTCACCAATGGGTAATGTTTAGTTGGATTTTTAGGAACTTCCCCTCGATTCTATTGGCTCTAACGGTTAAAAGAGGTGTCAATCACCAACATCGAATGAGGGGGGCCAGAGATATGGAAAATGCACCTAAATGACCCTAGAAGTGGGTTTTCTTTTCTAAACCTCTCTAAAAAGGTCAGATGTCACTTGTTTTGCATCAATCTTGATACAGGGTATGTATTATATGTTGTAGTTTGGATTCTTAAAGCTTTTAGTCTACTAACCCATCATTCAAAGGTGGTTTTCATTATAAGTAATGTTTGTTTTTTGGACTGACACTATCATTTACATTTTTTTACTATGTTCAATCTGAATTGACTTTAAAATAAAAAAAAAATGCTATATTGATTCTGACTTTTCCACATCCAACTCACAGGTTTATCATTGCTTTGAGAATAAAGATTATTAATGTAACCCTTTTAGAAGTGAAGTTATAGTCAATTGTTCTGGGAATGTCCTTTTCGAGCCTGAGGCCTGAAAAACAGGCTCGGGGCTCAACTGGTTTTAAAAGTCTTAAAACTAAACATGAAGTAATAAAGAATGGGAAATGTGTGAATGGTAAAGGCTTTATTTTAAAAAAATGTATAAAGGAAAAACATTTCTTAGTTTTATGATCGTTAAGCACTTTCCAAAAGCTCAGTGATTTTGTTTATTATATCCATTTAATAACAAAGGAGTATTAAAAAAAAGTGCATTAACACTAGCTCAAAAGTGCATTAACACTACATCCTCTTCCTCTTGCTCAATATACCACAGTAACAGTCTATTGCCCAAAGAGAAATCACAAATGAAACCTGATTTCAGTTCTGATGACAGAAAAAAGTGTAAACATTGCTCCTTAATACAAAAATGATTAACACACCTATCTGCCTGATACAAACAAAAAGATATATATAAATACAAAGTTTTGTCAACAGGACATTTCTGACTTCAGATCCAAGCAGACGGGCAGGACGGACTCACGTGGACGGAGTAGCCACTCGTCTCTAGAAAGAAAGACACACACACACACAGAAACACACACACACACACAGAGACACACACACACACACACACACACACACACACACACACACACACACACACACAGAGACACAGAGACACACACACACCCTCTGATCAGAATATAGAAAACATATCTTTCAGTTTCATTAGTCATACAGAGAAAAATGTAAACTGACAACTGTAACGTGTACCTGGAGAGAAAGACAAACTAATTAAGAGACAAAACAGTGAGTCACACACTCTGCAGTGTTTGTGTGTGTGTGTGTGTGTGTGTGTGTGTGTGTGTGTGTGTGTACCTCTGTGTGTAGACTCTGCATCTCCTCAGTGAGTGTGTTTCTCTCCTGCATCAGCTGGTTCTGTTTGGCCAGCAGCTCACACACCTGCTGGGCGCTGCTCTGACAGTGACGGTCCAACTGCTGCAGCCTACAACACACACACACACAATATTGACTGAAACTGTGTGAGAGGAACGTACCCTCCTGGCTGATAAAAAGCCAAATGTTGTAAATATTGAAAGAGAGCTGGATCCACAAAGAGCTTTTTAAAATATCGCTGGACTTTGTGTTGATCCAGTAATCAACACCGTTTGTTTGTGTGACGGCGGTGCTCACTTTTTAATAAGAGTGGAGACAGGGAGGTGAGGCAGGATCTGACAAACACTCTTATTATCCAACAATAACGACCCCTCAAACCAACAATAATTCTCATTAGAAATCAGAAAAGCTGTCTGACGGCAATGTAAAGCAGTGAAAAACGTTTTAAATAGTGTAAGAGTTTTTTTCTTTTTGTGGAAAAGCCAAATATTGTCACCTAGTGGTGACCTCTGTAGTCCATGGATTATAAAAGACTACAATTCCCACAACGGCAGCTTTTAAGAGACACAGATATGGGCAACCTGTGTGGAAGACGCCGTTGAGACAACCGTTAAATAATAACAGCTGAAGCCTAACAACTCATCACAGCTGTAAGTAAAACAAATACATTAAAAGTTAACGTTTAAAAGGCATCTAAGTGGCTTGATGGAAACAAAGGAGAGAAGTCGCGACATATCTTACACTTTTTTTTGTTTACCAAAATACACTTTGCTGATGCACTCTTCAGCAGAATATAACATTACTCATGTGACTAAACTCATCTTAAATAAAGGAACCAACACAACTATGTCAATAAATACTCGATAGAACATAACAAGTAAAGTTAATGCATTTTCCATTGTGTCTGAACACTGAGTTCATAGGTCAAATGAATACATATTAGATAAAGTCACCATGTTGTAAAATAAACAGCGGGTTAGTTTAAACAGTGGTGAGAAAGTTGTGTGCAGCTACAGTATGAAGCGCAGTGATCATTACTGGGACGTCCCAATTAGCGCGTCCCCCCCGACACGCAGACAATGGACTCTTTCACCCCACACTGGGAGTAGACAGTGTGTGTGGGTGTGTGTGTGTAGGTGGTGTTTCCAGCTGGGGTTTAGGGCTAGCGCTGCATGAATAGTGTGCGTGTTGACTGGGTTTGGGGGTGGAGGTGGAATGTGTTCCCACCAGTAGCCCTCATTATTTCATCCATTCATCATTCAGTCACTCAGTCATCCCATTCTCTCACACACACACACACACACACACACACACATCACACACACACACACACACACACACACACACACACACACACACACACACACACACACACACACCACACACACACACACACACACACACCACACACACACACACACACACACACACACACACACACACACACACACACACACACACACACACACACACACACACACACACACACACACACAGTATTGACAATCTAATAAAATCATAGAACATTATACACCACATTCACAGCTGCTAGTTTTCAAGCATATATATTTTTACTTTTGATACTTAAAGTACATTTTCACACACACACACGACTAAAGTCCTTTTTTCCGGACCCGGTTAAGGCCCGGGAAAAAAACTGTACAAAAGAAACAGCTTCATGAGTCAGAGATGATGTGTGTGATAGAGGAAGAGGAGGAGGATGATGAAGAGAGTGGTGTCTCGGGGCAGGGGGAGACAGAGAGGTAGCTGGGGGGGAGACAGATGCCCCTGCCCTGCTGGTCATGTTGGCAGTGGCAGGGCTGCCTGTGTGTGACAGACGGGGGGGCGAACATCCCAACTCTCCCCCACAATCTGCTCCCTGCCCCCCCCCACCCACCCCGGCGCTGTCCTCACTTTGCCCCGCGCCGCCTCTCTTTTCTCACCGCAGGGTCTAATCCCTCTTCATCAGGAGCTCCTCCACCATCCTCTTCATCAAGAGCTCCTCCACCATCCTCTTCATCAGGAGCATTCCCAGCATCCTTTCACACAGTGGTGTAAAGTAACTAAGTAGATTTACTCTCAAGTACTGTACTTTGAGGGACTTGTACTTCTATCCCAGTGTACTTGATAATGTACTTTTACTGATGTGAAATATAATCAACCCTTAAATCAGACTTTAGTTACACCTGGAGCTACATTTTCATATTCAGAAGCTGCAGTATATAAAGTCATTAAAACTAGCTGCCTTTACCTGCTTTGATAACACTTTAATGATCAATCATTATAATCAAAACATATATGTATTGGAAATGGGCCAATCTGCATAATCAGTACTTTTACTTTTGGTACTATAAGTATATTTGATGCTAATACTTCTGTACTTTTACTTGAGTAGCATTTTGATTGCAGGACTTTTACTTGTAACTTGAGAATTCACTATGGTATTTTTTACATTTACTTAAGTACAAGATATCATTTCTTTAATCCACCCTCCTCTATCCTGACTTTAAGGCATACTCCCAAAATTGTAATTTCTCACCTGATATTATTTGATTTTTTCCCACAGTTGTAAAAAAAAATTGAAATTTAGAAAAAACTCTTGATGGGTCGAAGTGAATGTGGGTCAAACCATAATTTAAGTCATAACACATGCATTTTTACACTTAAAACGTACGATTTAAAGCACTTAAACAGGAACACGGACGAGTAGAGCACCTGTGTGAGTGAGACTTAACGCAGAGTGTTATTTTTATTGTATATTTATTTCATTCAAACCATTTTATTTGTATTGTAACACCCCATCTTGTAATGTGTTTTGTGATATTGGGCTGTATGGATACCTAAATCTATCAATAACTTTTTCTAACTATTTTGATTCTTCGTCCACCACGGAGGCATGCGAGAGAAAAAACGTTCCTTCAAGATATCAAGTAGCCCAGGTTAGTTACTGTTTTAAAAATGATCATTTCTGGGTGAAGTATTCCTTATATCTCAGCCCTGGAGGGTGAGGGCGATGACTCCCCCCCCGCCTGGTGTTCCTGCAGCCGGCCGCCAAGCTGTCCTGACCGGCCTCCCCCTCTCTCTCCCTCCTACACGTCACACAGCAGGGCACCGCCACGTCACTCACACACAAACACACACACTCACACAGATAGAGCCCCTGTGTGTTGAGCCAAGATGCAGACCCAACAGTGTGCCGCTCACAGAGTGCAGCAGAGGAGGGAAAGGTCAGAAACAGCCCGTTGTTCTGGAGCTGTAAATGTTTGATGAGGGAAGTGTTGAGAGCGATTGAAGGCAACACCAAACTGATCTGAGTCACAGTGAGGAAATGCCAATCCTTATCCAATCCCAACCTCTGATCTCTGCATGTAGACGCACCGAACATCCTTCCATAAAACAATGTTCTCCAGAAAGAGACACGGCGGTGCTGATGAGAGGCCAGCTCTGCAGCTTCGTAGGAGACGCTTCAACATGCCAGGAAGATTCTGCACTGTGAGGATGATTGTGGAGAGAGGGTTTGTTTTACTTATTGATTTGAGTTATTCCTCTGAGGTGTACCACAACTGATGAAGTAAACAAAGAAATACCATATCTGAAGAATCAAATTGTGAAGTCAGGATATAATGACTTTAAGGCTCTTGTTATTGTCATTATGCAGCACAGCTTTCCACAACGACAACCCTCCAGTCTCAGTTTACCAAAATCAAAACATTTGAACTATAACCTTAAGTTTATTTTAGTATCTATAATTATCTAGCCAAACAGATGGTTGTGGTTTTTATTGAAACAGGTTTTTATAAATTGGTCTACAAGTTTTCTGCCACCCACTTAATACCAGGGTTGGATAGTGTTTTATTCCTGGTGCCTACAGCAAGATTTAAACTTCATAAATGTATTGATTTTCTTTCAGAAACAGACGATCGACTGATAATAATGAGATATTTGAAAACCTTGGATTTGACTGGAGGATAGTGAGAAAAATGTGTTTTGGTAATTTAGCTGAACTGGCCCTTTAATTACAAATGTTTAACGCTAAAAAATGATGTGAAGTAAAGAATGTGTTTTATTGAAAGTGGCACTCTAGAGAAAACTGAATCTTTAGCCAAGGTATCCTGACTTTAGTCTCTATTGTGTCTCAAGCTTGAACAATGTACATGTTTCCCATAATGCAAAGGGAAGACTTATACTTTCCCTGTGTGGTGGACATCCACTTCTTTTACTTGAGTACAAGATATGAGTACTTCTTCGACCTCTGATGATTTTCCATTTCAAGAGAGAAACTGAGGCAGTGAATTATCCAAAACACAAGCATTTATGAGGAAGCTGAACAACACCGCTACATCATGACATCACGCCGTCACGCAGAGAGGTCCGGAGCAGCAGCCAGGCTTCAGGCAACGGGTCGTGAACCGAGATGTTTGGAGCTGCAGCTGCAGGTTGTAAGCTGCAGGTTTATGTAATGCAGTGAGTAAAGCTGTGACCCTGCCCCACCACACACACACACACACACACACACACACACACACACCACACACACACACACACACACACACACACACACACACACACACACCACACACACACACCACACACACACCACACACACACCACACACACACACACCACACACACACACACACACACACACACACCACAACACCACACACACACACACACCACACACACCACACACACACACACACACACACACACACACACACACAATGTCTGCCCAGAGAGCCTCCAACCTCTGGCCTTCTTATACACACACACACTCTAATCCACCCCTTGTCTCACCTTGTGCATCCCGCCTCAGTGTGTGTGTAAGAAAATATGTGTGTGTGTGTGTGTGTGTGTGTGTGTGTGTGTGTGTGTGTGTGATTAAGGCAGCGCTCCTTCCAGCAGCTAAAGCAGCAAATCCAATAACTGGCCTCTATCGACTGGCACACTCATTAATTAGGGCTTAATGCGGCTTAATGCTCGGGCACTGCCCTACACTAACCCCCCCCCACACACACTCCCACACACTCTGGCGCGCCTCTGCCTGCTGCTGAAAGTGGGGAAGATGAACTGATGGACGGTCAGATGAAATGCATGTTGAGGTGAAGGGGATCTGCAGCAGGTGAGAGGTTTGTGATGGAGGTGCAGGAGGAGACACAGAGAGGAGGGAGGGGGCTCCAGCTGCAGACCCCCCCCCCCCTCTTGTGGACACCTGCTGCTGGCTGGTGGAGGTGTGGGATGGGGGGGGTTTAGAGAGGGAGCTGACCTGGTGAAAGGACACCACCTGCTGGAGCCCACACTTCACTGACACATGCACAACTCCTACACTCAAACTAAACTCCTCCAAAAGATAACCTGAATCCGCTTCCAGAGCAGTCGTGTTTGTGTCTTTAACCTGCGCCGTACACACTGTAGATAAATAAAGGACTTCTGATTTTTTAAATAAACAAACAAATATTTTTGAAACAAATATTTGTAGTGTCAATCATCCAAGATGTCATAAATTACATTTCTTAATAGCAAACAGCGGGTGAACTTGCATTTACTCAAACAGAGAAACTAACGTCATATTATGCAGAAAGCAGCAGAAGAAGAAGTACTCAGATCTCTGACTTAGGTCAAAGTAGTCATACTAAATTGTAAGAATACTCACCAGTACTCAACATGTTACTGACGTACAGTAGATGTGCATCAAAATATAGTCAAAGCACCAAAAGTAGAAGTACTCTATATGGGTAACGGCTCATTTCTTATCAAATCATAAACGACAAATGACTGGATGATTGGTGATGCATTAATGTGTTTATCACAGCTGTTAACGTTGGAGCTCATTGGAAATACTTTATACTGCCTGATATCTTAATATATAATTATGTGTCAATGTTTATATTTTGTTGTTGTATTAGCTACTAATCTGAAACTGTGAAGTAGCTAAAGCTGTCAGATAAATGTAATGGAGTAAAATATTTGCATTGAAAATGTAGTGGAGTACAGCAGAACATTAGAATACTCACAGAAATGTACTTAAATATAGTACTTATTTACATTCCACTAGTGAAAAGTATTGAAAAATTGAAATATTCTGGACATTTACATGCCTCAACTCAAAGGCCCCGATACTGTGAGAGGAGTCTGGTTTACACATCACTGGTCGTCGTGGTAGTAAGCGTGTATTTGTCTCTCCAGCAGTCGTATTAAATTATTTTGCTGAGAGGCAGTTTGCAGTAATTTCCCCAGACAGCCCCAATAATCAAACTCCGCTCACACTCTCTATTGACTGCAGCTACTAAGGAGATTAATTACAACACAGACACAGTTACCTCTCGGTGGTATACATCAGTCGTAGCCCACAGCTAGAGTCTAAACTCTGTGCTGTGTGTTTGCATATTTATTTACAGGTGGGAGCATATGTCCTAAAGGCACGGTCCAAAGGGAAAGCGCTAGCGTCACCGTGCAGAAAACAGAGATACGGTAATAGAAAAAATATATATCTGGAGGCAGCGATCGACAGCCTCGTATGAACGTGTGCGTTTTTATTATTAAACAAATCAGCTAGCGGAGCGCGTCACTTGATGAAAATATTTATTGGACAGTGCATACATTATCAAAACGAGTTCAAACGAGCCACGGAGCAAACTAATGTCTAAAATAACCACTCAGACTGGATCACACTGAGGGACGTTTTGACATCAAGTATGGAGATTGATTTTTTCCTATAAATATAGAGAAGAAAATCTGTGTGTGAATGTGGGTTAAAATCAAAGAGTAGGTTTTAACGGTTTCTGAACACACACATACGGAAAACAAGGAATATTTATATAATACTTGCTAGAAATCAAGAGTGAAAATGAACTAATTATAAAAGAAAATTAATTGAAATGAATGAAAGAAGTATTTTAATAATTCATTAGTTGAAAATAAACACCATTTATTGTATAAGTGATTTAATGGCAAACATTGCAGAAAAAGCTGTTTTCAGACTCTCACATGTTAAGATTACCTCCTTTTATACATCATAATAAACCTAATATATTTGTTTTACCCATGGCGACGACATTCATTTGGATTTAAGGACACTTTTCACCATTTTATGACGTTTTAACGACCAAACGATTAATGCAAATAATCAGTAGTTTTAGCCCTAGCTTTTACTAACTGAACTTACATGTCGCTGTGTGCGTGTGTGTGTGTGTGTGTGTGTGTGTGTGGTGTGTGTGTGTGTGTATGTGTGTGTGTGTATGTGTGTGTGTAGCAGGCAGGGGGCCTGGGGGGTGAAGAATACAGGCAGACGGCCTTGGCTTGCCTGGTTACAACAACACTGCCAGGGGCATGAAGGCTGCAGCTGCCACACACACACACACACACACACACACACACAAAATCACAAAACCATATTTCGCCCAATCCCAGGCCCACCCTCACACCCCTCTGCTCTAGCTAAATCTTGGCTAACACACACCTGCACTCAAGAATGTGTGTGTGTGTGTGTGTGTGTGTGTGTGTGTGTGTGTGTGTGTGTGTGTGTGTGTGTGCATGTGTGTGTGTGCGTGCCTGGAGGCCCCGCTCCCCTCACCAACCTGTCATGCCAGTTGTTGCTCTGCTAACACGCACGCCTGACACGATGGTGACACGGTGTGTTTTGATCGGGATGAGATCAGCGAGTGTTATCTCACCGTTATTTCCTGTTCTTGCATTTTCTTGAGCTGTTTATTTATTTATTGTCACATGTCATTTCCGAATATTTCTCCGACTGGCCTCTTTGAAATGTGTAGTTTTACTCTTCATTAAACATGTCAGCGTCATATTTCTAAAGGACACTTCTATAACTCTTCCCACGCAGCCCAATCCAAAGGAGTCACACAATCAGACACACACATCTAAAGACGCTGTATTGGCTCAATGAGTGTCGTGTGCTCCACTCTTAACAAAGGGACATTTAGTTATTATGTATTGTATTTCTTTTCGATAATGAACAAGTTGAAATCAGATTGTGTTTTTTTAGATGACTTTTCATTGAGATGCATTTTTCTTTTCTTATAATATACAGTAGAATTTGGGAAAGAAAGAAATATGGTTATATTGCATTCTCGCTGAAGTTGAAACAAAATCAAAATCATGCAATAAATGATACACTTTTCAATGTAGGCATATGTGTGGGTGCTGTGTAAAAAGAGGCACTGGGATTAAACGTTTATTTCTACTAAATGATTAAACTGAGACAAATGTCAGGTTGTGTAAAAACGTATTTTTCCTTCATATCCTTATTTCTCTGTGTGATGTCTGTGTGCTCATCTGCAACCATCCTGTCATGCTTTTTCATAACATACAGATGAACCAAGCATCTTGTATTGCAATATGAATTCTAGTTGAAGCTCCATTGAAAACGTTTCTGAATTGCTGCGACTGTAAACCGAACTAAAGCCTCTCGGGGGGCTCGCTAAGATTAAAGACACTTTATAACCAATCAGCTGGCTGGCCGAGAACTCACAG